CTTCCAGTGTTTTCCCAGGCCATAGCAGAGAGCTGGATCAGAAGTGGACCAGCTGGGACTTGAACCAGTGCCCGTATGGGATGCCGGTGGTGATGGTGGTGATTTTACCCGGTACACCACAGCACCAGCCTATTACCTTCATTCGTTTTACTTCTTTTAGATTGAGATTTCTCCCCTCTGTGTACTGAGTGTTTTTTTTTTTTTTTTAAAGATTTCATTTTATTTATTTGAAAGAGTTACAGAGAGGTAGAGACAGAGGTCTTCCATCTGCTGGTTCACTCCCCATATGGCCGCAGTGGCTACAGCCGAGCCAATCCGAAGCCAGGAGCCAGGAGCTTCTTCCAGTTCTCCCACGTGTGGGTGCAGGGGCCCAAGCACTTTTGGGCCATCTCCTACTGCTTTCCCAGGCCGTAGCAGAGAGCCGGTCTGAAGAGGAGCAGCCAGGACTTGAACTGGCACCCATGTAGGATGCCGGTGCTTTAGGCCAGGGTTTTAACCAGCTGCGCCACAGCGTCAGCCCCAGTGTTGCTATTCTTTTAATGATTACCTACTTGTAAGTCATATTACGTAACACCTCATCAAGTCTAACTTTAAGAGACACTGTTAATATGGCTTTAACAGATGTTTGTGTTGTCTGTTTTGCTTTGGTTCCTGAAGGATACTTTGACTGGAGATACTAACATTATTTCCCCTCCTTTGGAGATTTCTCTTCATTGACTTCTGTCGTCTTTTGGAGGTCAGCTCTCAGTCGAGACTGTTGTTGCTTTTCAGTCTGTTGGCGTTTACGAGTCTGTCGTCTAAGTGGTCTTGAAATTTCACCACATTGTATTTAGCTGTGGCTGTCTTTTTATTTACCCTGATTAGCATTTGTTGATCTTGACTCTGTGTATTGGTGCTTTTCATGAATTCTTGGGAAATTTTTGGCCTCTAACTTCAAAGATTACTTCTGCCCTGAGGCGGCCGCCACCAGCAAGATCAGTGCCAAGAAATAAAAAAAGCACCACAAAGCATCCCAGGAGGACTGACTAGCACGGACATTCCCTGCACCTGCAAGGGGTGCCCTTCTCCGCCCTGTGTCCTCACCCCAAGAAAAACACCACAAAATACCAAGAAAAAAAAAAAGAAGAAAACAAAGATTACTTCTGTTCCATTAAAAGAAAATCTTTTTCCTTAGAAACAGATTAGACTTTATGGAACCTTTAGACTTTATCTTCCACGTCTCTCTCTTTGTGATGTATTCTGGATTTCTTCAGATCACATGTCCACATCACTAACACTCTCTTTAGCTGTAATCTGTTATAAAGTTCTTTGCTGAGTTAACATAGTGATTTTTTTAAAAAAAATTCTGAAAGTTTTAAACATCTTTTGAATATTTACAGTTCTCATTTTCAAGCTACTCTTCTGTTTCTAGAAATATCTCAAACATGCTTATTTTCTGTTGTGTGTGTGTGGTCATTTCATTGTATGGAGGAGTTTTATGTCTGATTCTGCTGTTACTTCTGGTGGCCCTTGATCATGGGGCTTGTGTCCTTGCGTGTCTAGAGATTTTATGCTGTGGGCACCTCATTTTCCTTGTAACTTTGTTATTTGGAGGTCCTTAACGTCTGGAGTGATGGGGGTTCCTCCAGAGAGGACTTGCTTGCATCTCTCAGGGGTCTTACAGTTTGAGACCATGTTGTGCTAGATGTTTAATTGGACCATTCCAGTACTATGTTTAGGCTGCAAAAATCAAGGTCCATTTCTGATTACAAACTCCTTGGGATGGATTTTTTTTTCTTCCTTATTTGGGCTCATCCTTTACAGCAGACCCTTGGGTTTTATTTTGGATTCCCCATTGAAGGGACGGAGCCTCATCTCAGCGTGGCCTCTGGAGGCAGTGAATACCTGTAGTGAGGCTCACTGGCTCTGTGCTGGCCGTAAGTGGAAGCAGATTCCAGAGCTCAACTCTCCGTGTTTTTGCTCTCCTTAATTTTGGGCCCAAGTAGTCTTCACATTCTTTCCAGCATGTGGGTGCAATTAAGCTTAAAAACATTTTTTAAATGGAGCATATCCAATTTTCCACAAGGGAATATTTTCCAGGAATTAGTCTACCATACTGCCAGAAAGAGGAGTCCTTCTGAAACCGTGCACAGCTTTCCAGCATCAGCCCATTCTCATACTTCTTCAGTAAACCCAACCCGGTCCTGTGTGGCTGGATCCTGTTTGCTGTTGTCTCACTTGAATGGATGAGATGAGTTCCTTAGGGGAGCTTGGACCATTGGACCGTGTACTTAGATTTTTAGCACTGCCTTTCTTGGGTTTTACTGTTGCAGTTATGCGTATGGCCTGCCTTCATAAAAACAAGTAGCACTGGGGTCACTCTGCCACTACGCTCTGGGGTTCGTCTCTGGTGTCCTGTCCTCCCAACTCCCCTCATGTCCAGCCCCAGGGAGGAGGGGGCCTCCGAGCTCCTCTTTCCAGACTCTGCCCCCAACAAGCCTGTCAGAAGCAACCACTTTAACTCCGGAATCTGGCAAGCAGGAGTTCGTGGGTCCCCATTTCCTTCTCTTAGCCCCTTCCCTCCCAAGTCAGTACTGCAGTACTCAGTATGCCTCGGAACTGTCACCCTGAGCCTTTGCGCTCGCTGATCCCCCTGGCCTGGAATCTGTTCATTCGACAGCTGTTTACTGAGCCCTTTGACTCTGCGTCAGGTACTGGGGGTGCTGTAACCTTTCAGATGAGATTCCTACTCTCATTGAACTCCTGGTCCACTGAGGGCGGGGGAGACAGTATAGCACATGGCAGACCAGGCAGCGATCGGAGAGCAGCGCAGCTCTCTGCCGGTCAACTCTGCATTGTCGCCCCGCATCCCCCACGTTATTTTTGTTTGTTTTGTTTAATTTTTTAGAAAAACTTGTTAAATTTTTGAAATATGTGTGTAGGATGTTGATTGGGATCCATGCTGCATTTGTAGACTGGAGGCTGATATAACTGAATGTGCCCATCTGTGGCAACGACATCTTTCCTCTTAACTCAGGACTCCTTCTCTCATATCCAGAAAGGTCTTTCACATGTTCTGTATCTCTTTTTTTGTCAGCTGCATTCTTTTTGAGACACATACCCACACACTCCCACACCTCTCCCATCCCCTGGTTCACCCCCACAAATGTCTGCAAAGGCCAGAGCTGGGTTGAAGCTGGGAGCTAGGAATTCAATCCAGGGGGCCGGCACTGTGGCATAGCGGGTGAGGCTGCGGCCTGCAGTGCCGACATCCCATGTGGGCGCTGGTTTGAGTCCTGGCTGCTCCACTTCCAATCCAGCTCTCTGCAATGGCCTGGGAAAGCAGCAGCAGATGGCCCAAGTCCTTGGGCCCCTGCACCTGCGTGGCAGACCTGGAGGAAACTCCTGGCTCCAGATCAGCATGGCTGCAGCCGTTGTGGCCAACTGGGGAGTGAACCAGTGGATGGAAGACCTCTCTCTCTCTCTCTCTCTCTGCCTCTCCTCCGTGTAACTCTGACTTTCAAATAAATAAATAAAAATCTTTAAAAAAAAAAAAAAGAATTCAATCCAAGTCTCCCACGTGGGTGGCAGAAACCAGTCATTTAAGCCATCATCCGCTTTCTCCCAAGGTCTGCATTAGCAGGAAGCTGGAGTCAGGAGCTGGGGCTGGGAATTGAACCTGGGCACTCTGAAATGGGACACAGGTGTCCCAACTGGTGTCTTAACTGCTAGGCAAATGCCTGCCGCATTGGGTGTATTCTGTGGTCCCTCGTGGACTCTTGCAGATTTTTTTTTTCTTTACATGTTCTACTTGGTGGTAGCTGGTGTAGCGGAGACCATGGAGTGTAGGTTGACGTGAGTCCGGCTGATCAGGGTGGTCTTTGAAGGTGTGCCGGTGTCGTTCCCTGCTCAGGGTTCTGCCTGGTCCACTCCAGGCTCTTCAGGTCCCTTGCTTATCTTAGTGAACTGGCCATTGTCACCTCTGGCCTTCGCCTGTGCAACTGCCCACCCCCTGCCACTGCTCTCTGGGTTGGGTCCAGATGCCACAGTGCGGGGCGTTCGGGCAGACAGACAGTGCCCTACCCTCCACCACCCACTCACCTGGAAGCGCTAGCAGTGGGAGGAGCCAGCCAGACCACCAGCCGCTGGCGGGGCCTTAGGAGGGGGTGATCCAAGGCTTGGCAACTGAGGCAGTACAAGCCGCCTGAGCCACATGGAACTCGGTGTGGTGGGTGCCTTGGCCTCACCCTGCACGGCTCCAGGGAATGAGATGGCAGGGGCTACTGGTGGCTAAAACACTTCCTGGGGAGCAGATCTGGGTTCAGGTGTGTCCAGTGGCCAGACAGCATCAGGCCAGACCCTGGCAGAGCTGTGACACCTCCCTGCCCCCTCTCCTCCACATAGGTTTTTGCTGCATGGTGCTGCACCTGCCCCTGCCCCGTGATCCCCCCGACCCCGATCTTGAGCAGAATAAAGTCTGAAGCTCCTTTCCCTGTCCTGCGTTAGCTCCTCTCCATCTAGCTATAGACAGACTCAGGGCAGACTGCTGGAAGACTCCAAAGCCAAGGTTGTTGTTGTTGTTTTTTTTTAAATTTTTTTATTACTGGTTAAAAGGTGCTTGCTCACAAACAGTGTTGGGAAGAGGTACATTCCACAGCTTCAGGGAGGCCCAGCGGGGCTGCCCCGCCCTGCCCCGCACGTCTCTCTCGAGTGGGCATCGTAAGGCATTTCACACGTTGGTGTTTTCACTTTTGTTTTTTGTTTTTTATATAAAAACAAAATCCATTGTGGAGTAGAAAGGAAACTCCTGTGATGAACTTCCAGGACTAAACTGAAGTGGGGAGGGTTGAGGTGGGGGTTCTGAGGGCTGGAGGAGTGGCCCCCACGGGCCGGGCTCCCCACTCTGGAAGGGAACGGGGAGTGGGGGGCAGGGCACAGGTGTCAGGAGCCAGACTCAGACAGGCGCGCCCTGTCTTCATCCTTTTATCACTTCCACATACCATAGAAATTTAAGCAAAATAGCTATTTTATATATATTTATATATCATATATATAAATTAGGCAAAGAGAGTTCAGGGAGCGCAGAGATGGGGCATCCCGGAGCCCCCTGAGGGTGAGGTGGGATGCCGGGTCTCTGGCGCCCGGGTCACCAGCCCAGGCTGAACTGAGGGTTTTTGTTCGTTATTGCTGACTTGGGGACCTGTTTCTTGGGGCGGGGAGCACCTGCAGGCCCTGCCTTCCAGCCCTTCCTGGCCTCTTTGGGGCCAGGGAGCTGCCCTGGCACCGCCAAGGCTAGGCAAGGAAGGGGTGGCTGTCCTCCAATCAGGGCATCCCCCAGCGGGGAGCCGGAGCTCCAGGAGACCCCATGTGTTCTTCTGCTCTGCTCTCTGTGGGGCCTGGGCCCCTGGCGCAAGGGCGGCCCAGACACAAACAGGGTCCTTCCAATGTTGAGCTACAGAGTGCTTCCAACTCAAAGGGGTCTGGCTCCCCAGTGTCTAAGAAGGAGGGGTTCCTGCTGGGGCAGTTGTGTGGCAAGAGCACACTTGGAAAGCTGTCTGCTGAGGACTGTACTAAAAATAGATTACCAAAGTCAGGGCTCCAAAGAAATGCAGACTTTTTTTTTTTTTCCTAAAAAAGTCAAAAGAGGCTCCCTAGGAGGGGCCGGTTCCTCCCTGGGTTGGGGGCTGGTGACTTGGGCAGCCCATGGCCCGGGCCAGCAGGCCTGAGTTGTGGTTCCTGGGAGCTGGGATCCCCTTGGGAGCCCAAGTCCCTAAAGAAGGGGCATGGGTGACCCAGCGCACCTGGGGGCTGGAGAGAATCTGGGTCAGCCCTTCCTCCTTCCAAGATGTGAGCCCCCACAAAGTGTTAAAAAAAAAAAAGTCAAGGAAATAGGTGGGGAGGGGGTGGGCATTCAGTACTAGGTTGGGTGCGTTAAAGCAAAGGTGGACCGCCTATATTTGCGCAGGGGGCGCCACTCAGAAGATGTTGGGGCACATGTGCCAGTCTTGCCTCTCCTTGGCCTCCCAGTAGCCGCCCTTGTATATGAAGGCCGTCTCCCCGGTCAGCGGGTCCAGCCTCTTCTCGAACCACAGCGGCACGTACGTGTCCGCCTCCTTCTCTGCTGGGTGGGCACAGGGGCCGGGGCTGGGCGAGCGGCCTGTGCCCTGGGCACCCGCCCCATCCCCGCAAGACCCCCCCCCCCCCATCTCCTCTCACCCTCTGCCTGCCCCAGGGCGCCCTTCGTGTGTAGCCTCACCTTCCTCTGAGCCACAGCTGTGCCCGGGCGCGCAGGCCTCCAACCGCCGGCGCCTGGACGACCGCTGCTTCTCCTCCAGACGCTGCTTCTCGGTGTTGGCCTCATCCCAACGTCCCTTCTCCATCAGCCGCTGGTCGGGCCGCAGGCGGCTGTCGGTGGGTGCCACGCCTTCCTCTTGCTCGTTGAGGGTCAGGGCCAGCTCGGAGAAGTAGTACATGTTCTCGGCGTTCTCCCTGTGGCCACAGCGCACTGTGTCTCTGGGCAGCCCCTCTCCACCCAGCTCCGTGCTTCCAGGGCTCACACCTTCCCTGGCCCAGTGGCCACCGGGGTGAACCCACCTGCACCTCACCTCATTGACCTGCCACAGTTTTGCTACATTAAACTTTTGGGGATTTATCTGCTTCACCCAGTTCAGAAAGCCAGATCAGCATAACATGGTTTCCTAACGCCCTCACTAGCAGTGCTGCCGCCTGGGACGTAGTGCCCCTGTTGTCGATATTTTAGCTTTATAAAGGGGCTTCTCCTTGTAGGGCAGCACTTGCCCATTTTATTCACGGCTTGAACACCAAACCTCATTGATGCTATCTTAGGTCTCTGCCTTACTGATTTTACTTTTTATAGTCCTTCCTTCTACTTCGTGGGGGTTCATTCTGCTGTTCTTTTTCTAACATTTTGTTGAAAAAAATATTTGTTTGAAAAAGAGAGATTATGTCCATTAGCTGGTTCACTCCCCAAATGACTACAACAACCAGGGCTGGGGCAGCCTGAAACCGGGAGCCTGGGACTCCATCAGGGTCTCCTGTGTGGGTGGCAGGGGCCCAGATACTTGACCATCATCCACTGCCTTCCCAGGTGCATTAGCAGGAAGCTGGATCCCCGGGAATTGAACTAGTGCTCAGATACGGGATGCTGGTGTTACAGGTGGCAACTTAACTCGCTCTGCCACAACTGGACCTCATCTCTCTCTCTCTCTCTCTCTCTCTCTCTCTCTCTCTCTCTTATTTATTTATTTATTTATTTATTTGAAAGGCAGAGTTACAAGGCAGAGGCAGAGAGAGGGAGATCTTCCAAATGCTGGTTCACTTCCCAGTTGGCCGCAATTGCCAGAGCTGAGCCAATCTGAAGCCAGGAGCTTCTTCTGGGTCTCCCATGTGGGTGCAGGGGCTCAACGACTTGGGCCATCTTCTGCTGCTTTCCCAGGCCATAGCAGAGAGCTGGATCGGAAGTGGAGCAGCCAGGACTTGAACTGGAACTCATATGGGATGCTGGCACTGCAAGCAGTGGCTTGACCTGCTATGCCACGGCGCTGGCCCCTTTTTTCTTCTTTTGTAATGCAGGTGGCTCTTTGATTTACAGTGAATCCATTATAAATTGAAATTACTCTGAGTTGGGAATGGATGTAATATGCCCAACCTCCCAAATATCACAGCTGCAGCATGCTTGGACCTGTGACTTTAGTCTGCAGTGGGGCAGCATCAGCCAGCACGAAGCATACTTTACAGTAAATGTTGACTGTCTCAGGTAGTTTGTTGAATACCTAGATCCAGACAACACTGGCAGCACAGTGCACACAGTACCCATTGCTGGGCTGACTGGGAGCTCTGGCTGCCGCCCATTGCCCAGCATCATATCTGGGGAAAAGATCAAAACTCAGGAGGCGTCCAGCACTGGGGAGCAGCGGGTTAAGCCTCTGCCTGCAACACCAGCATCCCATAGGAGTGCCAATTCGAGTCCTGGCTGCTCCACTTTCGATCTAGCTCCCTGCTAACGGAGAAAGCAGCGGAAGGTGGCCCAAATGCTTGGTCCCCTGCCATCCATATGGGAGACCTGATGGAGTTCCAGGTTCCTGGCTTTGGCCTGGCCCAGACCCAGACGTTGCTGCCATTTGGGGGAGTAAACCAATGATGTTAAATCTGTTTCTGTCTAACTTTGCCTTTTAAATAAATCAATCTTGCGGCCAATGTTGTAGTATAGTGGGTTAAGCTGCTGTCTGCAACACCAATACTCCATACTGGTACCAGCTGAAGTCCCAGCTGCTCCATTTCCAATCCAGCTCCCTGCTAAGGTACCAGGGTGTCGCTCCCCCTCTTCGCGGAGGAACGACACTAAACCCTGCCTAGGTTTCCTATCCGAGTCACGGCACCATTATGTCGCTCCCCATCTTCGTGGAGGAACGACACAGGACCCTGCGTTGTTCTTTCGTCTGCTCGGCCCTCCCTGGGTTTGCTGCTGGTTCTTCCCGGGTTGGCTACCATCCCTTCCACCTCCGTGGAAGGGCGGTTCCCCCTGCCACTTTCCCCACTTCCGCGGGGGAGCGGCACACCGCCGGCCGGCTCTCTCGGGGGCTGCACAGGTGTTCCTTCAGATAGATGTTCCTGGTGCATGTTGTCTGTCTCCTCCTTTATAGTCCTCTTCCACCAATCCCAACTCTGCTACCCACACGCCGAGTACGCTGCTCTCCTCCAATCAGGAGCGGGATCAGCTCCTGCAGGTTACTGGTTGAACTGGAGGCAGCTGTGTAAAAGTTGTTTTTACTCCTCTCCCAGTGCCATATTGTGGGAGAGCAGATGCATAGAATAAGTCTTAATTCCAGTAACACAGTCTAGTCCGAGTTGCTCCCCACACCAGGGAAAGCAGCAGGCAGCCTAAGAACTTGGGCCTCTGCACCCACATGAGAGAGCTGGGAGAAGTTCCTGGCTGCTGGCTCGGCCCTGGCCATTGCAGCCACCTGGGGAGTGAACCAGAGGAGAGAAGATTGCTGTCTGTCTCTCCCTTTCTTGCTGTGACTCTGCCCTTCAAATAAATATCTTTTAAAACAATAAATTTTTAAAAGAAAAAATTAAAAGTCAAAATTTGAAGTATAGATTTGGCTGAGTGTTCCTTTTGTGCCATAGTACGGTTTTAAACAGCTGCGAGTTGAACCATTCTGGGCTGGGAACTCTGCGTCAGAAGTACTGCTTCAGCTGACTCGCACCACTTGTGCTGGGATTTCTGTCATTAGCCTTTGATTGCAGATACATCTCACTCCCATAGGTCTATGTGTAGCTGGCCTCTTAAATTTATAATCAGAGGAGGGTGTTTCTGGTCATTTTTCCCCCGTAGCGTAACCGCTGTGGAGGCAGCACACTTGATGTAATCTCAGTCCTTTACGATTTGCTTTGAGACCCAGTGCATCCTCAGTGCAGTGTTCTCTTAGCTGTCACGTGGGTTCTGCTGCTCAGACTGATCCGCCCCAATTTTTTTCCCTGTCTATAATTAAGGGGAGGATTAAAATTTGCCATTTTGGTTGTATATTATTCCCTTCCTTCTTGCATTTCTAACAGCCTGTGCTGTTTCTGTTTTGAGGCTGTACTGTTAGGTACATGGTACATTCCAATTTAAAACTTGCTTTTCTGGTGAACTGAACCTTCATATTTACGAACTTTCCCTCTCTCATATAACATGTTAAATTTTAACTTACTTGAGAGAGGGAGGAAGGGAGGAGGAGAGAAAAAGAGAAATATTCTGTCTGCTGCAGGTTCATTCCTTAAATGTCTACAGTGCCTGGGGCTGGCTGAAGATGGATGCAGGAACTCAACCCAGGTCTCCCACGTGGGTGGCAGGAACTCAATGACTTTAATTGTCACCACTGCCTCCCAGGGTCTGCGTTAGCCAAAAAGCTAGAGACAGGATCTAGAGGCCCCTGTCAAACCCAAGCACTCCAGTATAGGTGCAGGTGTCTTACTCACTAGGCCAAATGCCTGCCCCACACTAGTATTTATAGGGGCATACTTCTTTTCATTTCTTTATTTGAATCTTTAATTGTCTTATTTAGATGTATCTCTTGTAGACCACATATAGGTGGATTTTTTAAAATGTTTCTGAATCACAAACCCACAGTAGGGGCACTTAATGTAATCATAGGTTGAATGTCCCTCCTCTGAAATGCTTGGCACTCAAAATGTTTCAGATTTCAGGTTTTGGACTATTTGCATATACATAATGAGATCCCATGGGGGATGGGCCCCAAAACTAAACACAAAATCCATGTGTGTTTCATACACACCTTCATACACATGTGTTTCATACACATACACTTAGTCCAAGGTAGCTTTATGCAAGATTCTTGCTGTGCTTGGGTTCCGACTGTGACTCTTCACGTGACATCATGTGGGTGCTCAAAATGTTTCGATTTGGGAGCATTTTGGCTTTCAGATTTTTGCATTAGGGCTGCTCAACCTGTCCTGACAGGTTGGGTTTAAATTTAGTATCTTGTCATCTTTTTGCTCTGTCCACTTTTGGTCTTTAGGCACAGAGGCAGATGTGGAACAATCACAATCCTCGGTATGTGGCACCATCTCAGGGGGCCCTTGTGTGGCCTGTTTTATTAATGCATATTGGGGAGTCTGCATCATCTACACTCAGTACTGTCGGACTTTTCCACTTTTGTTGACCGCGTGAAGACGGTATCCCGCTATCTTGATTTGCATTTTCCTGAAATGGTGTGACTGCCCATACGCGTCGTCTTCTGTGAAATTCCTGCTCATGACTCAGTATTTTCTCCACTAGATTATTTTTATTCTGTTTGTTCGTAAGAAGTTCTTTAAATAGTCTCTTTAAAAGCTGCTATTTTCAGTTGTGATAAAACACTCTTTCTGTAGTCTTTATTTTAAAAGTTTCAGGGGGCCAGTGCTGTGGTGTAGCAGATAAAGCTGCCGCCTGCAGTGCTGGCATCCCATATGGGCACCAGTTTGAGTCCTGATTAGGCCAGTTCTCTGCTCTGGCCTGGGAAAGCCGTGGAAGATGGCCCAAGTCCTTGGGCCCCTGCACCTGCATGGGAGACCCAGAAGAAGCTCCTGGCTCCTGGCTTCGAATCGGCACAGCTCCGGCTGTTAGAGCCAATTGGGGAGTGAACCACCGGATGGATGACACCCCCCTCTCTCTCTGCTTCTCCTCCTCTCTGTAACTCTGCCTTTCAAATAAATAAATCTTAAAAAAGTTTTAGAAGCAGAGAGAAAGAACAGACAAACCGGGAGAATTGCCATCGACTAGTTTCTTTCCCATGTCAGTAACAGCAGGGACTGTGCCAGGCTGAAGCCAGCAGCAGGAAAGCCGATCCAGGCCTCCGTGTGGGTGGCAGGAGCCCCAGTACTGAAGCCATCAGTGCTGTTTCTCGGTCGCTGGAATCGGGCAGCACAGCCAGGGACTGAACCCAGGCACTCCAGTGCAGGAAGCAGGCATCCTGACTGGTGTC